GGTGACAGCGCGGTCGCCACCGCCCCACCCGCATGGAGGGCGGCGGGGAGGCGCTGCCCGCGGACCTGCGGGACCTGGCGGGCAAGGTGGGACGGCGCCCGCCCGCCGTGCTGCTGCGGGGGCTGCGGGCCGACACCGCCTCCGCGCCGTTAGCGCCGCCCGCGCCGCCCGCGACACCCGCACCGGCCCGCGGTGCCCACCCGCCGCTCGCCGAACGCCTCCGGACGCTCCGCCTCGAGCTGGTGAGTGCCGCGGTACCGGGAGAGCCGCCGGCTGCCCCCCGGTAACTGACCGTCCTACCCCGCCGTCACCGCATCCCCCCGGGTAGCCGCCTGCCATCCCCGGTGACGGTCCCGAACAGTCCCCGCGCTCTGCCTGCGTTTTGGGGAACCCCCGCCGTGTTCCTCCGTGTACGGGTCAAACCCCCCGCTCGTAACCGTTCCCCGGTCTGTCTCTGTCCCGGCCCACGCAGGGGGGATCCCCCTGGGCCACCTCCGTCTTGCTCCCCTGGCCCCGCGCAGCCCCAGACTGCGGCTCCGGYGGGGATCGCGGTGTCCCGGGACCAGAATTTAGGGCAGGGACCTTCGCCAAGGGCATGGTGGTGGATATTCTCTCCCCCGGGTGTGACCCCCAGGGTGACAAGGCACAAGCATCGCTGGAAGCTTTCCCAGGGTTCGGTTCCTGCTGGGGCTTCTCGGGTGGCTCGTAAAGGGTTGTGCTGCGGTGGCAGCCTTTCCCGGGAACCGTGGGAGTGCCGATSGCAGCTTTCTCGCCTCCCTCTTTCGTGGAGGGAGCAAATACCGGCGATGCCTGCGGCTCCGGGAAACGTGGCGAGATTGGGCAACGGGTTCAAGTGCAGCTGGGGGAAGGGACTCTCCCACGCATGAACATGCCGGGCGGGTGGGAATGAGCATTGTTTCCATAGGGAAACAGGCTAAACACGCCCGCATCCCCTGGTGCCCCCGAGGGGGTTGGAGCACCACCCAGCCTGAGCCCTCCACTTTGGCTGATTCAATATTCCCATCGGTGCAAGAGCTTTCATCCTCCCTTCTGCTTTATTCCTCCCTCCGTGCCGGCTTCCAGGCTGCACCCTGACCGGAGGAGAAAGGTCTCTGGGGCAGTGTGGTGTTTGCCCTGCCCAGGTACGAGCAAGCTCAGCCTATGGCCAGCAAGGCCTGGCTTGGCCCGGGCATTATTCACCTTGGCTCAGGAAGTCATTTCCTTGCCCTGCCCTGGCTCTTTTTGCTGGCCAGTGAAGAAGCAGGGACACTTCACACCCAGATCAGCAGYTTGGGATTGGGACCCAGGTGCCAAAACCCAGCACGGAGCTTCCCTCATCTCTCCATCCTCAGGAACAAAAACCTGAATATCCCCTCGACCCGAGCYCGAGCAGCAGGAAACCAGCAAACCCCATGCTCAGAGGATAAGCTGGCCTGGGAGTGGGCGGTGGGAGGAGAATTTAGCAAATTCCCACTCTCGCCTCCTGATCGGAGGAGGAAGATTTATCCCTAGAGCTAGATATCTTGAGAGGAGAAAGCGCCTGGGGTTTCTTGCACGCTGGGGAGGGGAGCAGGGCTTTATGTGGCCCTGGAGAGCATGAGGAGGAGTGTGACAGTCCCCTGTACGGCTGTCCTTGGTGCGAGGTCGTGCAGTGAACTTCAGAGCATCTGGAGGAGTATAGAGAGCAGCCTGTGCTGGGTCTCCTCCCACAATAACCTTGACTTACTGGAGGGGGGGTTCTTGGAGTGCAATGGGGAGGTCAGGCTGGCCTGAGCTAGCAGCAAATTGGTGGCAAACTCCTTCCAGCAAACAGTATGGAAAGCAGGGGTTGTTATCCCATCCTCTGCTTTTGGGGTGGCTCCCCTAGCACCTCTATCAGCTGCAGTTCTGCACGAGGCAGACGAAAATGGGGAACCCCCCACCAGGGGTTTCCAGCCCTCCTCCTCCCTCGTCGTCTCCCTGCCAAGGCCAGATGCTTTAGGAGTGCGTGCAGAAAAGTCCATTGTAGGCAGTTTTTTAAATAACTTGCCTAGAAAGGAAATTTCTGCACTTGGAAGCTGGCTCCTGCCCCAATCCGGGCACATCACTGCTATTTTTTATTTAAATCCAGCTTGAGGAGCGTGGGGAGCRGGGTGGGGAGGGCTGGTGTTGGATCTTTACAAATCTTTGGCCCTTTTTTKTGTGTTGTCTGGAGTGAGAGGTGTCACGTGCCGAAATCCTGGCTGGAGTTTTCCCAGGCTCCTTCCTCGGATGCTTCTGTTGCTGTGCCGGCTGTGAGACCAGAGACAGGGCTCTCAGGAGACTGTGGGGTCACCCGTGGGCGGGCCAGTGACTCCCAGGGTACCGCATACCGAGGATTGGGAGCTGTGCTTAAAAATKATCCCAGGGGATGGCGTGGATTTCTGTCACAGCTCACTGATGCTGGGCACGGGTTGTGTTTGTGAAGGAGGCTGTGGGCATCTGCTGCCTGTGCCTGCCCTGCATTGGGTTTTTTTCTCCTTTTCCCCCCACATTGTGGGTTTATTTCCTTTCCTGGCAAAAATATTTGCGTCCTGTGTAGGGGAAATCCAGTGGCTTTTGGCGGCCAGGATCACGCAGACAGGAATGTCTTGGCACACRGGGCTTTCCATTAGGAAAACAGATGTTTCTGCAGCAACTGAGGCTTGCAAAGAGCTTCCCCYGGCTTGGAGGGGCAGGAGTCAGTGAAGAGTGCTGTGATCAGTAATGCCTGTCCTTCTCATCCTCCCATTTTGGGAGGGATTTGGGTCTCCAAACCTTGCCATGTGACATTGTCACCAGACTTGGTTCAGACCCTAGAAAGAGAGAAGTAAAGGCATGAAGGGACCAGCCTGAGTGATGCCTGATCCTCTTGCCCTGCCAGCAGCCTCCCAGATCTTGGAGGATGCTGTGGGATCAGATCCAGTACCTCCAGTTCCTTGCTTACTCATTGTTCCCATAGGAGACAACAACATAAGTGCCCTGGATTTATTTCCCTGAGGGGGTTGGTGGCTGGTGGGAACCACAAGTTGTTGGTCCCCAGGTCTTGGACAGGGTCCCCTGGGATGGTTCCCTGCAGGGTGTTCCTCCATATGGTGCTCTTCATCGGGCCACTATGGTGACATCCAGCCAGGCTGGGCTGGGCCATGGGACCCTTGGGTCACCTCACTCCCCTGTGCTCTCTTCTGTCTCCCCCCAGGCTTACCTTCGAGCGGTGGATGTGAAGATCCTGCAGCAGCTGGTGGTGGTCAACGAGGGCATCGAGGCGGTCAAGTGGCTGCTGGAGGAGCGGAGCACCCTGACCAGCCGCTGCAGCAGCCTGGCCAGCAGCCAGTACAGCCTGGTGGAGAGCCAGGAGGCATCACGGCGGGGCAGCTGGGACAGCCTGCAGGACCCCAACGACCGGCTGGACAGCATCTCCGTCGGCAGCTACCTGGACACCTTGGCYGATGACATGGACGAGTATTCCCAGAACGCCGCYGAMACTGCCGCTGCGTCCGCGACGGGCMGAGCCCTGGCCAGGGCAGAGCAGGATTGGGCCAGGATCGACCCTGAGAGGGGTCTGCCAAAGCAAGAGAAGGACAAAGAGGAGCACGAGTGGCCCCACGTGGACCTCTCCCCGCCTGGGCTGCCCCAGGATCGCCGGTTTGCTAAGGAGCCCCAGGTGGCCAATGGGTTTTTGGGCCAGCAGTCCCCCTCTCTGGAGCCAGACAGAGACACCAAATCACCACCGGGGGCCAGGGAGAGGCCGGGGAAGGGGAATCCGGATGGAAAGGCTTGGAAAGCTGAGGCTGACCTTGAGAACTGCAAACTCAACAGCAAACTGCACCTGGAGTACGATGCCCACTGGCGCTGGCTCCAGTCACAGGATGATGTGACATTCTTATAGCCCGTGGCTTYGCCTTCCCAGTCCAGCTCTCCCAGCTGCCCACTCTGCTTCACTTGTCTGTGCTTGGGAGATTTGGGGTGGCTGGAGAGGGGGGCCAGGCTGGCTTGGTGGTGTTGCACTGTTCCTCTGATTGCCCCAGCAGCCATAAGGGACTGGGTGCCTGCCCTGCAGCACATTTCTGGGAGAGGTGGGATGGGGTGGGTCTTGACAGATTTAATCCTTTGCTCTAGGGTGGTGCTTGCACCACTCCTCATTGTCCTTGATGTTGGTGGTGGGAAAACRTGGGACAGTGGGATTCCTGGGATCTCTCCCTGTAATGCTCAGTTTCCTGTGTGCAAAAACTGGGGATCCTTCCCCCAAAAATGACTACCCAGAGAGGATGGGGGACACTGCTATGCATCCACTGCTCAGTGGCACCAGCATGCTCAGTGTGGGGCAGGACCATCGGCAGGGCACCCCTGTTGGATCTGCTCATTTCCTTCATTGTCTTCAAGGCCAGTGTCCATCCAGGACAGGGCTGACCTGGGGTGTGGCCCCAGCACGTGGTGGATGCTAAAACCCCTTCCCTGGGGGTGCAGCCCTGCCTGGATCAAATGCCTGTGAAGCCAGTCTGAGGCGGGGCTGGGGAGCCTTTGTCCTGCAGAGGAAGGATGATGGTGCAGGCTTTCCAACGTGATGAAACGAGAACAACGAAGCACTGGGTGGGAAATGGAAATCCAGTTCTCTTGTTCCTGGGCTGTCTTCCACCCTGAGAGCAGTCCTGCAGAATCTCTGGGATGTGGCAGCACACAGACAGCCCAGCAGAGCCTGCAGGGCTCAGACTCGGAGAGGCTCCTGCTCTCCCCTGACACAGTGGGATGATGGTGAAGGCCGGGTTTCTCTCTGTGTATCATGGGTGCTGCCAGGCCTCTGCCTCCTACCAGCAACCCGAAACATCTCTGTCAGGGTGGATTTGCAGTGACTCTGCTCTGGAGACATCTCCTCTGTCTTTTTAGCCTTGGCTTCTGCCCGTGCCTTTTGCTGTCCCCACCACGCATGTCCTTCACTGGCTYGTAGAGCATGGCTTGCAGCTGGGGCTGTGTGAGAGCTTGGGCAAGACCTGCTGCCTCCAGATGATGCAGGGARGAACCTGAGCATCATTCAAGGAGCCATGCTCTTCCACATTTGTGGATAAGCCTGGAGTGTGCTGACTTCAGAGCCCATGGGTGCACGTGTCCCCAGCCGAGCACAGTGACAATATTGCTCTCGCCATCGTGCCGTTGTTCCCTTGCCTGCATGGTCACAGCTTGGATCTCTCCTTGCTGGGATGGTAGGAGTGAGGACATTGCCTTGTGATGTCAGTGGGAAGCTTAGAGAGAGGGAAGTGACTGGCTGTGACTTTCCAGATGTTGGGAAGGTGTTTGGGGGCACAGTGGGTTCAGCTTGGTGTCTCTGAAACAGTACCTTCAGTGGGAATTACCCTCTGTTCTGAGAGCCCTGAGCACTGCAGATCCTCAGGACTTCCCTGGATGGAAGTGGAGGGCAGGACAGTACCCAAGATTCTGGAACCTGCTGAGGACCTGGGGAAATCCCAGCACCCTGGGACTGGGTTGCCCTGTGCAAGAATCCACCTGGCTGCCCTGGAGCAGCTGTGCCTGCCTTGCCATGGCCTGCGAGCAGCTTGTGGCTCCCTGTGTGCGCTGACACTGAGCCACCATGTCCCCAAGGCTGGCTGTCCCCTGCTTTCCTGCTAACCCTGCATGCAATGAATCASCTGAGGGTCCCTGGGGGAGACAGGGTAATTCCTTTGGCGCTGTTAAAATCATTTTCAGCAAAAAATAGCTGGCTTAATAAACGTTGGTGTTTCTCCCAGGCCCCGCTGTCGGTGCTTTGCTGAGCTTACCGGTGTTTCCAGGGGAAGGGGAGAAGCTCTGGGATGGAATGCCCTGGAGCCTCTGGGAGCCCTGCAGAAGGGCAGGTTAAGGGCTCCAGCCCTGAAACAGGCACAGRCCGAGTGTTTGGGGCTCAGTCCCTTCTCACATTAGTGAGGTGGCACTTTAAAGTCACTTTTTTGGCACATTAAAGTAATTTTTTCTGACGTAGCTGGGCACCACTGCACATCTGCTGGGAGCAAGGGTGACTGTATCAGTCTCAGCTGAACTGTGTGTCAAACAGCAGCTTCACCCTTCCTGCCCCACTTTTCCAAGGAAGATCATTTTAGGTGTTTGCCAGCCCTGGTAGCTGTGCTGGAATCTTTGCTCCCCGTGCTGTGCAGTGGCAGCTTTGGCTCCCGTGGCTTTCTCCACCCAGGAGGTGCAGCATGGGTCTGGTGTAGAGCAGAGCCTCCTCCAGCCCAGCCAGGGTGGGAGCAGCACAGCTCTGCTATCAGCCTGCTGGGATTTATTCCTGGGTGGATCCCTTTAAAACCGCTAGAGCCGGTGCTCATGCAAACATCAGCTTTTCCAAAGCAAACGCAATCGGCTTATCCAGCCCTGCCATCCCAGCCTCAGCATCCCTTCCGGCTCACGGCTTCCACATCGTGAGCTTTTGCAAACGGGGAATTGGATGCTGGAGCTGGCAGGACTCAGCAGGATTTCCCCAGTTTCTGCTGGGCTGGGGTGAAAAATAGAATCGTGAAGAAAACCTTAGATGAGGTTGCCCTGCCTAATTCTCTTCCAAATCTAGCCCTCAGCAGCTGGACAGCCCTTCACTGCAGAACTTTCACTGGGGCTCCCCTGGGTGTGGACTCTTCATCAGCCCAAGGTGCCCACAGCCCCAAAATCTGTGTATCCCCCAAATCCAATCCCTTGGAGCTGGAGGGATGAGTGGGACCTCATGGCTTTCTCCCTGCTCTGTCTCTGGGCTCCGTTAGTGAGGGATCACCCACCTTTGGGCAGAGCCAACCTGTCCCAAACCTCCCCAGGGAATACCCCAGGGACCTGTGTCTGCTGAAAGGTGGGTGCAGCAGTGGGGTGCAGAGCACCCACGGGTGGCAAGCAGCTCACAGCACGGACCCACAGCCTCCCCCCTGGTCTGCCTGGCCCTGACCCTGCCTGCTGCTGCCCTTGAGCTGCTCTTGGGCTGTTTAATGCCGGTATCAGGTAAGAAAACAAGCAGATAAAGCAGGCGGGATCCCAGCCGTGCCAGAAAACACCCACCYCTGTTACAATAAAAACAGCAGCAAGCCAATTCTTTTTTTCCAGATATACACAGAGATTAGGCTGCCTTAACGAGGCAGTAAAAGACTTCAATAGCTCTCCTTGCTTGTTATTAAAATGTCCCCTGGGCTTTCCCTTCCCTGCATGCAGCTCAGCTCCGAAAGGGCCTGTCCCCAGAGCAATGCAGCCATTTCAGCGATTTCTGTAAGTTCCTGCGTGGAGGAAGCATGAAAATACCCTTTTCCCAGGGGGAAAAGAGCATGGTCCCCATGGCCAGAAGAGAGGTGGCCAAACTCAACAGCCTTTGGCAGCCCTGTGACCCCACAGCACCCCATGGGCTCGGTGCCATGGGGAACAGCACTGTGGGGTGACCCTGGGAGGGGGTGCAGGGGGGTGTGGGTGCAAGCACAGCCTGTGGGGCTGGAGAACAGCASCCCCACCCTCCTCGTGTCTGGAGACTGATGCTCCCTGTTGACCCTTGTCCTGTTCCCTGTGCAGTTCCCCCGTGACCCGTAACCCTTTCTGGGGTGCAGAAAGTTCTGCTTTTGTGCTGCCTGATCCCCTCCAGACAGCGTGGGGCAGGGGAGGCCAGAGAATGGGACAGGAAGGGCTCGTGTAGCCCCCACCCCCTGCTCTCAGCCTGCAGTGGGGATGTTCTGATGGTCTCCTGGGCAAGGCTGAAGTGTTGGTTGTAGCAAAGTGGTGATCCCCAGGTCCCCAGGATGAGCCCCATCATGCCAAAGCTGCCTCCAATTTAGGACAACTGAACTCAGCCCACTGCTTTGGGACATGGCAGCCAGGCTGGCCCCATTGCCAGCTCCTCCATCTCCCCCAGCCTGTGCCCAGGACCCCCCAATGCTGGGTGAAATCAGCCCAGGGTAGGATTCCTGTGTCCTGAGTTTCCAGATGGTTTCCATCTTTTCCTTCGCACTGTTCCCAAGTGTCCAAAGGTGGGAACCTCCTGCAGGTTTTGTGTGAAGAGGAGAGGGCAGAGACGTCCCTCTTCCTGTCCCTGTCTTCTGCTGACCCTCTGCTATGCCGTGGAGAAGCCAGGACAGGGGATACTCTGCCCAGGGAAGCTCAGACACCAAGTGGGGTCTCCTGGTGACCTCCTGCCTGCTCCCCASCTTTGGGAACCCCTCCTGAGATCTGTGGTGTGTGCAGCTGAGTGGCTGTGGGGCTGCTGAACGGGGGCACAGACTCAGAGTGCGAACCAGGAAGGAGCTGAGCCTTTGGGAAGTGCCTCCCCGGGCTGTTTGTCCCTGCCAGGGGCTGGCAGCAGGCCAGGCCTTTGCTTTGGAGAATAATCCGCTGGCTTTAGAGCTTCCCAGCGCTCCTCGGGAGTGAAAAACAAGTGTGAGTGCTCAGGGCCCYGTGGGTGCGTGGGCACGGGTGGGTGACAAGGACAAGCTCAAGGCTTTGTTCCCTGCCTGTGCCCTGTCCCAGCCCAGCTAGGGGGCCGGGAGGGAGCGGTGGCACGGTGGCACAGCTGTCCCCCTGCTCCTCCCTGGCTGCTGGGTGCCCACCCAGGCCCATCAGCATTCCCAAAATGGCCCCTCCTTCCCACCCACATCACCCATTGGCAAGAATCCTGCCACACAACCCACACATGACTGGGATCTGGGGACATCCTGCCCAGTGCCACTCCAGGGGTGACAACCAAAGCCCCTGTGTGCCCAGGAGATGAGTGCACTCCTGCCACCAGCTCTGCCTCTGTCCCAGCAGGGAGCAGAAGAAAAATCTGAATTGCTCTTCTGAGAAATTAATCTTCTTTCTCGGTTTTAGCTCAGCCTGACCTAGAAGAACCACCCCCCGGGGTTGTTTTCTTTTCCCCCGTGGGGTGTTTAAAGGGAAAATCACAGCAAATGTGTTGTAAAGAAGCTGTGGGAGGCAGGGGCCAGACCTACAGCGGGGCTGGAATGGTTTTAGACAGGATTTGCTGCCCGCTCCTGTGAGATCCTCTGGTCTGGGGTGGGTGGGCAGAGAAAATTGCATCTCCCCAGCCATGAGAATTAATCAGAAACAGGAAAAGGTTGAGAGCTGTGCTGGGCTCTTCCTGGCAGGGTGGTAGGTTCCCCCTGGCAAGGAGACTTTTGGCTGGAGAGAGGTAAAAGCTGCTGGAGAGAGAAATGGCAGTGGGAACAAAGCAGCTGCAGTGCTCGGACCCTCCCGTGGTGGCTGCGGTGCTGGGGTGACAGGGACAGGGCTGGGTGGAAGGACAGCCCTGACCACCAGGACAGGGRCAGGAGGTGACATACGCCTCTCCCAGGACCTGCTCCTGCCCCACCAAACCTGTCCCGGGTCCATTTCACATCCCTTCCCCAGTCCCTTTCATCCCCAGGGTGAAGCCTGGATGGCCCAAATGCCATCCCTGTTTGCAGGCACAGGTTGGGTGAGGGACACCAGGCACCCCGGCACCAAAATGATCCTGATACAACGCTGAAGCTGGGGGTTACATCCAAATAAAGGCTTCAGCTGCCCTGTCAAGGACTCTGCTCCTGCGCTCAAGGGCCAGGACCCCCTTCCCTGCTCCTTCTCTGCCTCAGTTTCCTTTTTGTGAAGTTGGGGGAGATAAAAAGGAAAGAAATCCCCAGTCCCCTCTTGTGCCTGAGGACTTTGTTGAGGCTGTGCTGTGGGGTTGGTTGCAGTCCCCCAAGCCCTGGAGGAGAGCAGGGAGGCCAAGCAGCTGTTGTGGTGCTCGTCCATGTGTCTCTGTGTGTCTGTGTGCCTGTCCCTCGTGGTCAGAGTGCAGCACCCGTGGCCATTCAGCRCCTTCTGCAAAGGGGTCTTGAGTCCAGCACCAGCCCCTTCCCCATCCTTGCTRGGAGCCAAAGGGGTTGGAGGCAGATTTTGGGCAGCAGCCCCCATTTTGGAGGCTCAGCCGTGTGTCTCGGGCAGGAGGTGCAGGCAGTGTGAGCAGCAGGGATTAGGGCTGCTATAAAAAGCACCGGGATCTCTCGTCTCTGCTCCCTAAGGCGCTTAGGAGAGGAAAGAGGGAATTAAAGAGCAACTTCCTGCACTGGAGAGGTGCAGGGATGGGACACTCATCAGACACTCATCAGACCCCTTCCYCCTCAGCATCCCCAAAAACCTCCCCTGGGCAAAGAAGTGCCCCTGTGCTCTCCCTGGGTCCCTGCTGTGGCTTCACCAGACACTTGTTCCCTGCTCAGAGGTTGTGGGGGGACAGCTGGGCCTGGAGAGGGTGTCCTCGTGGGTGAGACGGGCACATGAGGGTCCTGTACTGTTTGCACACCCCAAAAATAAACGTGGAGCTCTCCCTTCCCCATCCTTGCAGCCTCACTCATCCGCCTGGTCCTGTCCTGCCACTCGACTTCCAAGGCCCTCTGAGGGTTCTAGAGATGCCCTCCAAAATGCAGTGAGCTCCATGGGTGTGTGGCTGGACAGAAAAACACAGAATTCTTGGAGGGGCGGGCGTTGTTGAAGCCAAAAACCGTGCTCTGCTTCCAGAGACAAAACTGCTCCGTGGTCTTGGGGCTCTGACAGGCTCCCAGTCACCGTCAGAGCTCAGCACCAGTGCGGGGTGTGGTGACAGCTTTGGGGACAAGTCAGGGGGAAGGCAGGTGCCAGACGAAGGCAGAGATGCCGGGATGGGGAGATGGGAGGGAAGGTGGGAGGGACGCTGCTGTCCTTTGTGGGTTTCCCCCGTGTGTGGCAGGTTCCAGTGGGGTCAATTCCAAAGCAGCCGCAGCCCCCGA